AGTTGGAATTCGATAAAAGAGTAGGCCGTAGTGCCGCTGTCCGGGCAAAATTTCCCTCATAGCAGACTGTATGGCGTATGCCCGTCTTCATTAGCCCAGTTCGGAACAAAACAGTAGGACGTTAAACTCCATTTCATTTCATTTCATTTAACGCAGGTGTGGATTTAAGGGGGCGGTGTCCATGAGACAAAGTAATTAGTGCCCCTAAGCAGTGGCGAAGGGAGGGGGGAAGAGGAGTCCACTGCGACAGCCCCCTCCCCACCTTCCCTTATGCCCAGTCCCCAAAAATGGGCGTGGATCTGATCATGGCATGCACCAAAAACAATAGAGATTAGCCTTAGGGTATAAGGAATAAGTATACAAAGTTTCAAGACAATCCATTAAGAATTGCTCCCAGTAGGCGACCCACACACACACACCTACACATATACAAGGGCGACGGCAGAATACGTCCACATTATGAATGTGTACGTATAAAAATACGTATTTTGAACTGATGACAATGCATTTTGCACCGTGAACATTGAAATAATATTGGCAACGTTATTCTTCCATACTCCAGTGCAATGGTTCTCAACCTATTTTTGCCAACGGAACACCTAGGAACACATGAAAAAATTGCGGCACACCTGGCTAAATATATATGAAAAAATATTTGAATTTTGCAAAATAAAAACATGGCAAATCATAGACGGCATACAGCCGTAGACACCGACTAGTCACAGGCACATAGACTGACACAAACTAAATAAAGAAAAACACAGCTATGAACTAGTCGGCTTCTTGGGTGAGAAATTTTCTTAGTGCCGCGGCACACTGGCTGAGAATCACTGCTCTAGTGCGTCGGTTGTGGGGCGACAGACTTTACAGTTGTTCTGTAAACTCACGGAACAGGTAGAATTTACAGGCAGATCTTCGGCACCCAAGCTCCCCCCACCCCCACCCATCAAAAACATCCTGGTTACGCCACTGCTTTCCGGCGAGATAACGATCTCTGGAACAGAATGTCCTAGAATGCTGAAAATGAACAGGGTTCACCCTCTCCAATCCCAATGTTTAACACCGAATTTAAAATTCAATAAGGTTCGTCTTCCAGCAGAAAATAATTGAGTTGATCACCTCATAGTTCTAATACTTCACACCAAATTTGAAAGAGATCCATTAACTGCCGAACATAAATAGGGTTCGACGTCGGACTTCGTTTTCTCGTATCGCTTCACACCAATTCGAAGAAAATCCGTAAAAAACCCCATGGTATATGTCAAGTTCGCGAAGAAACCCCAGAACGGGAGAGAGAGAGAGAGAAAGAGAGAGAGAGAGAGAGTGATGGGGTTTAACGTCCACTCGACACAAACTAGGTCATTTCGGGACTAACACATGGTTTAATTTTATTTCAATAATTCGCTTGCGCGTAGGGGTCTTTAGCAGTGGGAGGAAACCGGAGGACCCGGAGAAAAGTCAAGAGGTTGGACAGGCGACCCTACTCCTTGTCACGTACAACCGGGGAATCGCAACCCCGCCAGTCGACTCAATGACAGACCGTATGATACAGCGCGCGCGTGCTAACCATTCGGCCATCCAACCCCCAACTCCAGAACGGAAAGCTGTAGAAGGCTAAAAATCGTTCGTCTCCTCATAACCACAATGTCTCATGCCAAATTTGAAAAAAAGTCCGCTACTGTTGCCACTATAAAGTCCAAAAGCCAATTTTTATTGTTGACGTTCGAGGGCGACGACGTAATACGGCCATACTAAAAATCGTTAAGTAAGGGTAGCACTTTAATGGGGGCACCTATGGTTTTTCTAACAATTGATCCGGGAGCTTGTCTACCTTTTGTTATAGAAACCCGTGGGCCACCGCCTTTAAACTTGAGATACGCATGATTTTATTTTCACCAGTCGACATATTAGATTAAACATCGACGTAGAATTAAAAAATAGACATACTTTCATTTTCGCTGCTGCGATGAACATTTTAATAATCATAAACATTTTAATGTCTAACCGAACACCAGAACAAACGAAAGGGTCTTAGTAGACAACCAGACATAGAGGAGTGGGGCTCTTTTACGACAGCCCCGTTATGGGTGTTGATGTTTACTATTATACAATATATACTTCTTCCTGCAAACTAACCTCAGAATCCCAAATCTAGTTCCGATTTTCAGAAGTGCAGGACGGGAGCCTAGCAAGGACCGCGTCTTCTTTTTTGGATGGGACGACCAAAACAGAGGTTCATCCGTTTACTCGTTGACAATTCGGCGAATAGTAGACGGAAACGCCGCTATCCGAAAATTTTTCGCTAGCACATTGCATGGTGTAAAATAAACAAGCCAACAGTGAGGCTGGTGCCCCCCGCCGAAATCCCCAAATAAATAGATGACACATATTAATTAATCGTACATCTATTTTTTTCAAAAGTATCGAGCAATCAAACTGATTATCAACTATACACTAAGTTTCATCACTCTCTATCAGATAGAATCAAAGTTATCTTGTCCCAAAGCATCGACCAAGGAAATTGCTTATCTCTGCTTAGCTTTAGATCGAAATGTTAATCATTGAACTCAGAAAAGACATTCACCTAATGAACATTTACATCAAGTTTAAACATTCTACCTCAATTAGAAGTTATGTTCCAATGTCTTGACCAATCAAAATGCTTATTGCTCCTTAGCCTAAGCAGACAATTCTCATCATCGAACTTAGTCAAGGTATTGATGTAATGAAACTATACACCAAGTTTCATCACTCTCACTTAATTAGAACTAAAGTTATCATGTCCCAAAGCATCAACCCAATCAAATTGCTTATCTCTACTTACCATAAGCAGAAAATGCTTATCTTCGCATTCTATCAAGGCATTGACCTAATAAACACCTACACCAAGTTTGAACATTTTAGCTCAATTAGAAGGAGAGTTATTGTGTTCCAAAGTCTCAGCCAATCAAATTGCTTATCGCTCTGCTTACCCTGAGCAGAAAATGCTCATTATCGAACTTAGTCAAGGTATTGATGTAATGAAACTATACACCAAGTTTCATCACTCTCACTTAATTAGAACTGAAGTTATCGTGTCCCAAAGCATCAACCAATCAAATTGCTTATCTCTGCTTACCCTAAGCAGAAAATGCTCATCTTCGAACTCCATCAAGGCATTGACCTAATAAACACCTACACCAAGTTTGAACATTCTAGGTCAATTAGAAGAAGAGTTATTGTGTCCCAAAAAGTGTGACGGACAGACAGACGGACGGACGGACAGACAGACGGACGAACCCATTTTAATAGTCCCCTGCTTTCTTCGAAAGGCGGGGGACAATAACTACTTGGCAAGTATGAAGCGGATTCCAAACCCCAGATTTAGAAGATTATAATGCGATCATCATTTCAAGGGAGACAACTACTGATTTTGCTACCATCTTGGGGCTGTACTATAATGTATATTAGTGTACGTCCATGTGGGAATCATTTAATTCTTTTAAAGTAGTGGGAGGGACACATAGGCGTAGGAGGTCAAAGTTATTCAGGGGGGCATAAGAGAAAATTGCCCGAAATCAATACCGTTTTTTCGGGCATACATATCATAAGAGAGCTTCAGGCATATTTTCGGGCATGCAGTGGACAAGAAAAAGACGAGAAAATACTTTTCGGGCAGTGTGGATCTCATAGAAATAAGTTAGTTATATTTTTTCTCTAAACGTTAATAGAAAAAAAAGGTCGTCGAATTTTTCATTGCCCGAAAATAAATTTTTGGGGGGCCAAATGCCCCCCTGCTCCCCCCCCCCCCGGCTCCTACGCCTATGGAGGGGCAAGTTCGATCCGGCTCAACGGGGCAAATTCGACCCATGAATTTTAAAAATTAAATCTAACCAGAAGGGGGTCAGTGTGTCAGTTGTAAATTGTGGCAGCACGACACGTCATACTTTTGATTTCTGCTCCGGCTGGGTTAATAAAGACGGAAACATGTACATGTATAGCATATGTGACTCTACAAGATTTTGCCTTAAACAACTGTTTTTTGTATTTATTACTACATAGTCGTTGCCAAGTTTCCAAGAGAGACAGACAGACAGACAGACAGGCAGAAAGGGGGGGGGGGCTTGCCCTCGACCCATTTCACTTTTTTCTTTTTGAATCCAATTCCTATTATGATCGCGGTAGTAGACATTTATTTGCCATCTTTAAATTCAAATAAAGAAGTGCAAAACGGAGCTAAGCGGCTGCTTTCACTGAAAGTGATGGGTTCGAACCCCAACATTTTGTTCTGAAAACTGGTTTCTCTTATGATCGCAGTAGTACTACTCACTTTGTTGATGGTTTACCAAAGACAACTATATTCCATTAAAAGGGTAGAAATCCGAGGAAATTATATTGCATAGTTATAAATCAGTGTCATTTATAATTTAGAAAAGAGGGTAGAAATCCGAGGAAATTATATTGCATAGTTATAAATCAGTCAATTATAATTTAGAAAAAAATGGCCGAACTAGCCCCGGTCTTCAATAGTAGTTTCACAAACAGGAACCTGGTATTATAAAGATATTATTATATAGTATTCTCACTGCTTGAACATAAACCAAGAAGATTCATTCTTCAACAATCAAACAAACCCAACAGCAAGTTATGATTATCTTCTTTATTTTAATGTTGGGAATAATTAGTTATATGTCCACGGCGGATCTTTGAGCCACCCCATAGTGTGTGTGTCAATATTGTTCACCTGCGTCAATTAATAACCAACTAATTAAATTAATTATCAGTCACCTTAATTATCAATACTTTAATCCGCTTTTGGCATGAATCCTAACGCTAAATTAACATTTATTTCGATATAACACGATGATATAAATCTTTAATCCACTTAAGTAACCATACCGCTGTACATAATTTCTACAATGTCGATCATTCACAGCTGATCGTCAAACTGGTGCATTCATCGGCCTATACATAAAGTGAATGGCGCTCCATACTTTGTCACTATTGGCTACAGAGCAAACATTAAGCAATCATGCCTGGCTTGATAACTGTCACACAACAACCGTTATGGAGAGTGTTAACTGATATTTCGTTTTAATATACAAGAGCGGTTCAGGAGGATAAATGATAAATGGAGGATCAATATAGAAAAAGGAAGAAGAAGGGACGAGTCGTCCCCTCTTCCGAGGAAGGTAGTCGCTTGGGCCCTGACAATGTCGCCTTTGAAATGGACTCGATCAGGTAAGTGAAGCATACGACGTCTATGGCAACCCGTTATCTGACACCGGTTTTTTTTTTAACCATTGCACATATATATATCAACAATAGGCATGTCTGCACGCAAAATCCTTTGTTACCCCTGCTAGCCATTGGACTAAACTAGAAGCAGGTAAGCTCCGAATGATTATTGTTTTTGCATAATATATTGTAACGGGAGGCTACAGCTATTAGAAGAATCAGGCAAAAATTATTGAAATTGGCTATAGACCTATATGTGTGTATGGTACCGTATATAGTTAACAACCAATAATAATAAACAATTATAGACATAATATTACTTGATATGACAACCATTTATACTTATCAATATAAATACAAATTAATTTTTAAATGATATGTAACTATAATATCTGATGTAGTCTTCCACAATAAAACCTAAATAGATCTATCTCTATTAAATTGTTGCACATTAAAGATGCATAAGATTTAGTTTTAAGATGTGGTCGTTCTTGCAAAATGAAATTAAATGGGTTTAACTTTCTGTTTTTCTGAAGACTGGTCTAATGAATATAATCTTTAACTGACATTCTGCTAATGCGCTAATGAAGCAGACATATGCCATACAGTGTGCTATGAGACAAATTTTGCCCGAACAGTGGAGCTATGACCTACTCTTATTTTGAATTTTAACTGTCAAAGGTTCTTATGTGCATGCCAATGTGTACATGGGAACTTGGTTTTTTTGTTCCATCTGAATGACTAGACAATGTCCTTAACCAATAACAAGCTGGAAAAGATCGTTCTTGCTATAACAGATAATGATATGTGAATATATTGAAAATTACCTTCAAATTATTTTATTCTTAGCAAAGTTATGAAGTAATATTGTCAAGTACCATTACTTCCATGATATGTGGTCTTGATTTTCCATTTTAACGAACGTATAACTTTTGAAGCCACAAAAGAGAATTGCAATAGGCAGATTTAGGTCTTACATAATGCCTCTTTAAACCTAGACAATTGTTAAACTGCTGGTGAACATTCCAATTCTAAAATCCAAGTACAAACTATTTCTATAAATGGAGCAAGGTGGCATGGGCCTGCTCCCTATAGTAGAGGCCAAAGGAGGCCATTTGGTGAAAATTATTGACAATGTAAGAGAGGTCAAGGCTGAGGTCGGTCATAGCCGTGTTTGAAAATGGTGTTTTGAAAAATATGCTAGTTTACGGCATGGCATGTAAATTGACCGATGGGTCGGTCCTGAGATTTTTCGATCAATGTTTTTATCAAGCGGTCATGATCAGCACATACGACCGACATTAAACCCATGGTCAGGGGGATCCTTTAGCACAAAATATTTTTACCCTTGTTGTTTTGTATTTGTTTTGGTTACCAAAATTTGTATGGTAAATACTTTGTGAGTTAAATAGTAAAACAGCTATTCAACTTGTTGAATGAACCATGAAGATATTATTGTCTTATTATGGAATAACCTTGTTATTATTCACAAGGGGGTGGTTCGATTAAAAGATAATTAATATAGAACAATTTGTGTTAGGTATCTAAACTTTATGAATAAAAAGTGGTTACAGGATTTCTCAAGAGAATAAGCATACACTTCCTTTTGCATGACACCCCTAAAGTGAAATGAAGCAATAATTTGGCTTTGGATTTCAGAAGTCAAAGCTACTTGATAGAAAGTAACCTCAGGGAAATTGCCACCAACAGCTTCTACTACTTGTCCAGATAAATGTAGTCGCTTTTGGGTGCTTATGCTGAATAAAGGCCCAATATTCAAGAGTAAACGGATAATATAGACTTTTAGACCAGACACATTAAAAGTAGTCTTTCCCCCAAAAAAATGAAAATAGATCAAATCTAACATGAAATTATGACAACTGAAAATTCACATTGCATACTTCTAATTTATTTGTCTTATAATCACCGACTAAACAATAAATCATTTCCATATAAAAAATGCTTAATTTTGTTAAATTTAAAAGAAAATATTAAATAGCCCTCTCTGGTGTAGTGCACCTTTCCTTTAAGAACCTGTTTAAAAATAAAATTAAATATCGATTTATAGCCATGCTGGGGGGGTTGGGTGGCAAATTGGTTAACACATGCACATTGGATCAGAAGGTCTGTCATTGAGTCAAGTGGCGGGGTTTTGAGTCCCCGCTTGTACGTGACAAGGATTAGGGTCGCGTAAGTCCTTTTTCTCCAAGTCCTCCAGTTTGCTTCCATTGCTAAAGACCCCTGCATGCAAGCGAATTATTGAAATAAAATTGAACCATGACCTAGTTTGCATTGAGTGGAGTTAAACCCTCTCTCTCTCTTTCATTAAAAAAAAAACTTCTGTTAACTTCAATTATTGAAATAACAAAAAGAACGTTTTGTATATACATTGATTCAATATTTATTATTTAATTGTGATATGAATAAAATATACTGTGGCGTGACTGCATATAAAAGCTTTCTTTATAGTCCCAATCAATCAATTACCTGGCCACATATATATAGAGAGAGATTTATTGAGGTTTCTATCATATCAAAATATCAAGTAGTTTATAATGGCATATTGCGTAAGAGTAGTTAATATTGTTCTCATATAGTGTTATTCAGTTGCTATGTTCCCCATGTTATTGAAGTGTTTTTTTTTTAAATTGCCTCTTAGACATTAAAGGAATACATTATTCAAACTATGGGACCAATATTTCATCTAGATTCTTCAGAGATTTAACTTATACATTTATTGTTGGGTCAATACTTTTCCTACAGATATTAATAGTTGCCTAACATCTCATTATTCCATACTTTACACCAATCCAGTTATTCCTATTTGATGCAAAACAGGGAATAATTGGAGATTAGGTAATTTAATTGTTGCAATCAAAGATATCTTCTGCGAACTGCTTCTTTAAGGAAATATCAATTATATTTATCATATAAAGAAGTTAATAACTGTTCTCTTTTTTTCAGGTCTGACAATGACTTATTCAAACATCTACAAAATGGGGTTCAAAACAAGATTAACTCAATAAGGGCCTTAGCACAAGTCAAAGAAGGTTTATCCAGGTGGAGAAATTATGCTAACAGGCGAAGGAAAGTCAGGACAACAGTAAGCCTTACAGGTGAAGAATCCATGGAGACTTCAAATACTGGCGGTATTGGCTTGGATGACATCCATAAGGAGTACACTTTAAGAGGACAATTTACAGTTGGAGGTGACGTGGATGGTAAGGCCATCAAGGATTTGGAAATGTCGGTAGCTGCAAATCGATCACTTATTCAGTACTTTGCTAAACTTGGTCAGTCTAACAAGGATGACGAATGTGTTAATTTGGACTTCGTTGAATCTCTGTTAAATGCTGGAGCGGATATCAACTGCATGGATAAATTTGGGCAGACAATCCTACACGAGGTAGCACGTGCCTGGCACACAGATGTCGCAAGATTCTTGATTGAAAAGGGTGCTAAAGTAGACAAAAAGGATTCGTTTGGAAGAACACCATTGCATTTTGCTGCTGCAGTGGACTACCCCGAAATGGTTAATCTTTTGATTGAGCTCAAAGCAAACAAAGAAGCTGTTACTGATGGGGAATTGCAAACTCCAGTTCACTATGCTGCCAAAAATGATGCTTGTAAATCCTTGAAGGCTTTAGCTAAACACGGATGTAATGTCATGACAGTTAGAGACTATAAGGGTCGTACTCCGATTCATGTAGCTGCAGAGTTAGATCGAAGTGAATCTTCACGATTTCTTTTAACAGTGGGAGCTCCTGCAGGAGTAAGTGATCAACAGGGACAAAAGGCCATAGCCTTGATGATAACCAAAATGGCACCTGTTGCTAACGATGCGTTGAATCAGTTCAGAACCACTGACCGTGCGAGTAGAAAACAAAATGTTTATCTCAATCATTTGGTTCAGAATGAAACATTACACCCACGATGCCAAAGTCCATTGCTTGTAGCTGTTAATCATCGGCAATACAAACTGCTGATGCACCCTTGCTTCAGAAGATTGATAGACGTGATGTGGTCCAAATTTGGTGCGAAGGGAGCTTGGATAAATCTTGTTATTAATTTTATTTATATTGTTCTATGGACTATCATAGGTGTAGCCATAGAATATGACGAACGTTATCTTTATAAATTCCCTGATCATTGGTGGAGAATAGTGCTTCTAATTTCTGCAGTGGCTCTTACTGTATGGCAAATTGTCGAAGAGTTTCGCGAATATCAGAGATCTGTTGTGTCTCATAGGAAATGGGTGGATTGGAGAAAAGAAGAGATAGAAAGAGACAGAAAGTTCTGTCATCCAAGGTGGCCAGATGAAGAGAAATTTCTAGAAAGAGAGTTAAATGCATTAAAGGATGTGGATCAAAGTTATTTTAGTGATATGTGGAATATCTTTGACTGGACATGCTACTTTCTACTTACTATTTGTATCGTCACCCATTTGTTTGACATCGGTATGCATTCTGAACATCTTGCTAGATGGCATGTTCGTATTATGTGCGTGACAATAATCCTATTGTGGCTGAGACTTATGAAAAATGCTCGTGCCTTTACTCTGCTTGGTCCTTTCATCGTAATGTTGGGGCACATGCTCAAGGACTGTGTACGTTTTTTATTCCTCTACCTTGAGTTTTACATACCATACGCATGCGCCTTTTGGATGATTTTTGGTGGTGACAGAAGAGCAGAAAAAGATATTAACGATCTTACAGAAGGAGAAACAATCATAGTGGATGGATATGAATATCCTGGACAAGTATTATTTAGTCTCTTCCGTTTGACGCTGGTTGATGATTATGATTTTGCAAACATGTACTTAGTTGATTCAGTTATGGCAACTTTATTGGTCTGGTCATGGCTAGCCCTCTCTGCTGTACTTTGCCTAAATCTCTTTATTGCCTTATTGTCAGACACCTTCCAGAGAATTTATGATAACGCAATAGCCAATTCCGTTATGCAACGGGCCATTACTATTCTGAGCATCTGGGAAAAGATGTCAAAGAAGCAAAAGTACAAGTTTCAAGATTTTATTGATAAAAAATGCTCCCCTATTGAGGATTACTATGATGATGATTTAACAGAAACTGGTGAAGCAGACATACAAAAGGTTACCGTTCAGATCAAGGAAGTGCTCGATGACATGCAAGAGCAGTGGAAGTTTCACTTTGGAGAAACTGAGGATCAACCGTTGGAAGATGATCCAAAACCCACACAACTTCCATCAGATAAAAACAAAAGGTCATCTAGCATGATTACCAGCAGAAAGTTTGATTTTGAGATTGGTAAGATACACGAAATGATCGCCGAACTGAGTCTACAGCAGGAGAAAATAGCTACAACATTTAAACACGACCTGAAGTCTGTAAAAAATATGCTCAAAGAACTAACAGGACGACGACCAATTGTGCCAACAAACGAAAGAAGCAGACAAGCATATGATGAAAGAGAGTTGAGTGGCATGCCGACCACCCAAGTATCACCAATGCAGGGATCTGTTGTAGAACAAGTGACTTCAGATGGTACTGCTTTAGACCTGGGTGTGTTTCCACAAGGTGGTGCCTTTTCTTCCCAACCCACAGAAAATGAAGTAGAAGTGACAACTGCTCGTTTTACCACAAATGATTTCCCTGACCTGCCACGCCATGATTCCACAGCCTAAGTAGTGTTAGGAGTTGTAAATATATTTGTGACTTATTTATTTCCATTTATGTATTGAACTTGGTAAAGATTTACTGGAATATGTAAAGTCTTCAAATGAGAAATGGTATCAGGTGTAATATATAAAGAGTAAGCATAGCCTGCATTATGCACAAAAATGAACCATTAACAACCTTGCAGGAATCATTTTTGGAGCTAAAAGAAACTTTAAATGTTAAATATAGGCTTATATCACTAACTAGACAGGGTTTTTAAAAATTTTATATGTTTATAGTTTAGACTTTTGATGACTGAAAAATCATTTTACCATTATATATATCAAAGATGCATTATGTAAGATTTAAATCAAGGGCTGACAGTTCTCGCTATAAAAATGAATATGTTGAAAATTCCAGTCAAATTATTTCATTCTGAGCTATTTTAGGGCTGTTTGGAGTCTGGTTTGTCATTGCTACTGTTGTTATGATAGTAAACAAAGTCTTGTTTATCCATCATTAACTGGCAATCTTGAAAATCAAGACTATCTGATGGCCTATGGAGTTGATTATGGTCTTGTCATGTTAATAAATGTCTAATTAATAATTTATATAACATTTATGGCCTAAAGAAATACCTGCAATAGCCAAATTTAGCTCTTGAATAATGCATTTTTAAATGGAAACATAATCTTCTAAGTGCCACAATTCTACATCGTTTTTTTTATTTAGTTTTTTATACATTGTTATTAAATATCCTTTTAGTTTAAATTATTTTATGATCCAACTATCTGTGATATTTTAATTTAATCATTGAAGCATTTATAATAATGCAGAATATATTTAAACATATTTATATTTGATATACTAATATATATAACTGACGAAAACACAACCAATATTGAAATATCAGGCTTGTTTGTTGTAACAATAGTGCATAAATGCATTCATCTTCCCAGAAAACATCATAAACATTTTCTTTCTATGGTGCATGGTATTTTCAATGTGTTAAATGAATGCAAGTAGATATTATTTCCTGTATATTTTACAACATTAAAGAAAGGTTATCGTTTTACTTGTGTAAATTTATATTTTTTTTATAGTGAAATGTATCATAATTTGTAATGGCATTATTTAAAGATCTGTTCCATTGAGGTAAATTATAGGTCAAGAATGTTTATTAAATTAGATGGCACTTGACAGTAGTCTGAATAGAGAAGCAATATCAGAGACCGCATTTGCCAAAGAATTGTAAACATCAAAAAAATTATGAGCTAGTATACCAAACTGTGTCTGTATGCTATTAAATAGAGGAAGATTTGAGACATTTTATCTAAAATTCAGATCACTGTTACTCTGCAATAAAGTTTAGATATAATACTCGGATATCAACGAATTACAATCCTGATACTCAAAGGAATATATCTTTAATATAATGGTCGACTGGTATATAATTCATAATGTATACTTTTAATATTCTTTCAGTGTATGTTTATATAGTATATAAACTTATTTTCATACATTTCACTTTAATTTATTACATAAATTTATCCCCTTGAAGCAACCTTACTTTTTATCATTGTGTCGTGTAGGTTACCGACCAATGTCGATCAAGGCAGCCATTATTGGATAATTTGACCACTAATATATTTTGTTAAAAAAAATAAAATGCCGGTAGATGTTTTATTCGAAAAAAGATTGGGCAAGTTGTATTTGAAAATCTGATAGCTTAGATCAGTTTTGTCTTGCTCATATGACTGGTCATCTGAATGAGGTTATGTAGTCTTGATCATCCCGATTATATTGTCCATGCTTCAGCTTCAACAAAAATGGGACGGAAATCACATTTTTTATTTAGCCCAAACTCTATTCGACTTCTTGACATATTTTGTTTTTCAAATTTTCAAGGCTTGTACGATAAGTCATATGGAAGAACCCCATCAAAATTTGCAAATTGCCACTAACGAAAACTTCTGGACATTATACATGACTGAGTTCTGGATGAAACTCAGCATGGTTGTTAAGGGTACAAAGAAGAATTTGGTTCACTGCAAATAAAGATGGTGGCAGCTTTGTTATATAGTGAGCAACAAAGGGAACAACCCTATCCAATTTTAAAATTTCAGAGATACCTTTCTGTCTTTATAGTAAGGGAGCTAGATTCAGGTTGTTTCAAAAATCGTGTACAAAATCTCTACTGTGCTAGATGAGTGCACGGCGGTGCCCAATACTCTGAAGCTTGATTCTTAAGTTGTGGGTCTCCTTCCCATGGGGGTGGGGAGTCTGACAAAACGTCGAAATTTCGAGTTTAATTCGACTTTTGCATACAACAATCAACTTTCGTGCATAAGTTGACCAACTTCAGATGTCATAAAAAAACACTGCTTAAGAAGACCCCTGACCCTTCCTTCCTCCCTTAAGAACATCCCTTTACCCTCCTGAGGCCAAATTTCTGCTCACTAATAATTCCTTTCGAAGACCAAAAGTTGTTGTGTGAGACTGTGAGAGGATATCTGACAATTCATAAGATAGGTTGCCAGGCAACGAACATACGCCCACAGCAGCTAAATCGTCCGGGCAGTCAACAAGAGTTGTCGCATATTTTTACTTTTTTCGGTAATGAAACATTATACACTAAAATCTGATTAAGAGCACCAACTCAGAAAACCATTAGAATTTGTTTGGTTTTTATATAAAGTTTGGTTTTTATATAAAGTTCTGCCCCATGCTAACATTTGTATACAAAACTTTTAATACTGTATCATGGATTTAGCTGTTCCAAGTCATAACAAGGGCCATAACTCTGGCAGTAATTATCGTAAATTGCTGAAAATCAATAGGATTCTTCGTCTCATGACCTTAAGCACTGTGTATAAATTTAAAGTCAATTGGATATTAACTTTAGCCTCTAGAGCATCCACAAGATTTTCTGAAGTGATCAAGGGCCATAACTCTGGCAGTAATTATCGGAAATCGCTGAAAATCAATAGGTTCTTCGTCTCATGACCTTAAACACTGTGTATAAATTTAAAGTCAATCGGATATTAACTTTCGCCTCTAGAGCGTCAACAAGATTTTTTGAAGTGATCAAAGGCCATAACTCTGGCAGTAATTATCGGAAATCGCTGAAAATCAATAGGCTTCTTCGTCTCATGACCTTAAACAATGTATAAATTTAAAGTCAATCGGATATTAACTTTCGTCTCTAGAGCGTCCACAAGATTTTTTGAAGTGATCAAGGGCCATAACTATGGCAGTAATTATCGGAAATTGCTGAATATCAATAGGCTTCTTCGTCTCATGACCTTAAACACTGTGTATAAATTTAAAGTCAATCGGATATTAACTTTGGCCTCTAGAGCGTCAACAAGATTTTTTGAAGTGATCAAGGGCCATAACTCTGGCAGTAATTATCGGAAATTGCTGAAAATCAATAGGCTTCTTCGTCTCATGGCCTTAAACACTGTATATAAATTTAAAGTCAATCGAATATTAACTTTAGCCTCTAGAGCGTCCACAAGCAATTGTGGACGCCGGACGGACGGACGGGGGCGACGACAATATACGACCACATTTCAATGTGGGCGTATAAAAAAGAATTGACTGCCACTAGATAAGAGAACACGAAATAAAAACAGAAAAAGTCTGTGCATTACCATGTTTTTGTAAGGTATAGAATGAATATAAACAAGGGAATGTACTGACTATTACTGACTTATCTACTGACATTCAATTACTTTATTGAATTGTCAGGTATCCTCTTACAGTCCCATATAGCAACTTTTGGTCTTGGAAGGAATTATTAGTGAGCAGAAATTCGGCCGTATATCTGTTATCACTCGTCACCATCAGTCAGTTATATAGTGGGATTACTCGTGTTTTCCTTTGGCGTTCGTCACTTCCGATTCAGGAAACCTGTATTACTCAGCTATCGTAGCAATGAACTCTGTGTTAAAATTATATTTGGAATGTGTTTAACCAGCTCTATCACATATGTGATAATGACTGGCACCAATATTGTCCTTAAATATTAATCATCCAAAGTATGATAAATATTTGGTTCCTTATGAAGCTTTCCATTAATATTAAATCAACTACTATGTCATTCGGAACTAGGGCATGAAAGAAAAACAAATTGTCAGAGTTAGAAAATGAATTTATTTCAAATTACACAGAATAATATACAAATACTAAATAACAATCTTTGGAATTATATCTAAATATGTAACAGTGTTTTTAAAAGAAGGAACTAATGGATTTACTTTACATATAAATATATATTAAAATTTGATAGTAGGAATGTACATTTAAAGAAAAAAGGGGAAATTTATTATATATATATATACACATCTAAAAATACATAAGACATTTCTATAAAAATCCTAATCATATGCCCCACAATATAAAAGTAAAAGTTATATAACAATATTACAAATTTTGGCATACAGTAGAATCTGTATTAAGCAGCCACCCAAGGGAATTTTCACAGCTGACCGCTTAACGGGAGTGGCCTCTTAATCAAATCTTGGTGCTTTTTGTGCTGACATAAATTAAATATTCCGCCTGGATGCATTGGAAGCGGTAAATTTGACCGTCGCTGAATCTTGCGCTGAACGAAAATTCTTTACTCAAATCTCGGACATAACTTCTGTAAACTTGTCATTTTGTACTAACCTTCGATACTACTGGATACCATATTGATGCATTCGATAATATTTATCCATTTTTGTGAAGAAAATCGATGAATTAATTTTATTTTATCAAAAAAGCACATGAACAAAAAAACATCGCTGATTTTATCACCTATTTACAGGGGATGTAACTCTGTATGTAATATTATAGGAGGCGCTAAAACGTCTGTTTAACAATAAAGTGGCAATGGAAAAGAGATACTAGATGATCGTGACAAAACTCGGTACTTTTATTTTATTCAATCAGTATCAAATAATGTGTCCTTACGCGTTAAAACAGTGATCAGGTTAGTCGTTTAATAAAACAAAAGATTAATTAATAGATAATCCCGGGTTGATTGTTATTTTTACATTTCTTTTTACCTGATCAGTGGGGGTCCAGTTAATTAACTACTACTCACGGGATTAGAGGGGGTGTTACAAAGAACGACAAGATGGTATCATTCAACAATGGCCGTTGAATGGGCCATGTTTTGTTGAATTTTTTAGTAAAATAGTGACCGCTGGCCGCGTTAGAGGAGTGACCGTTGAATAAAGAGATGAAACAACAGAATTTTTACGGGAGGAATTTATCGTGACCGCTTACAAGGAGATGTCGCTGAATAGGAGTGGCTGCTCATACAGATTCTACTGTATATGATACTTATCAAACCATAAGACTTAAAGTGATTTGAAGATTTACAGAAATGCCTATAGTAAATATACTGAGCTAATTTTTGGTCTAGAACATCTAATATTATTTCTCATAAAGTAAGTTATACTGGCTTTTTACGTGTCTTGGACCTATGGTCGAAACATGTATTGTTTTTGTAAGTTTTTATTATTACTATTTTTTTTTTTTTGCCGAGCCAATTTTTTGTTTGTTTTGAACCTACTCCAAATGGCTACAATTCTTGGGGAGCCGATTTTTGAATTTCAATTTTGTTTACTTCCTGTTTCACTTTCAATGTTTGACTTTTCACTTTCTGGATGGTGACCTAACATTTCAATGACCCTTGACCTTTGTATATATGATGACACTCATGTCTACTAACAATTAATATCAAGAGAGAGAGGGATGGGGTTTAAACATCTTATCTTAAGACATATTAAATCAGACCTTTCTCAATGACTTTTTGGCTAAATTTAGATAAAGAGATGGCCATTCTTGCTCTAATAATACAAAATTCAAAAATAGATCATGAAAAATAAATCTATTAAAAACTGCAGTCATATTACTGTAGTCTGAGCGAAGTTATGAGGTACTATAGCCATGATAATATGATAATATTGTCAGTACATTTTATTTTGAGTAACATCAATATTAACCTTAAACTATTATATGGTGCAGATTATCCAATCCATCCAAATTTTCATACGATTCAATTATTTATTTGAAAGACTAAACAAATTTTGATTATTTATTTTGTTTTTAAATTCTGTATTGGACACATGAACACATTTTCAATTATAAATGTATGTCAACATTTGCTTTATCTTAAAACAAGAACAGATTATCATCAAGTAAAACAAATCAAATTCAATTTTATTTCTGTCCCAGATCAAGTAAAATATGTACAATTTATATATTTTCTAAATTGAAATGAGCAGCACTTGAAATCCCTGTACTAAAAAATTGATAATATACAAGTCTAACATTGTACATACTGTATAAAATATGTTTTAAAAGAGTGAATTACCTTTATATCTATAATACTGTTGCAGTATATTACATACATTATTTTCGTTTTGGTAGATTAGCACCATAACTAACAGAAGAGGCTCTTCGTTTGGGTCGTTTAAAAGGAGAACATCCTTCTTTTGGTCTCAGAGTTTTTCTGGCTGCTAATAATCTAAAATGATGAGAACAGTATGTGTGTGTTAGGCAGTAATAAGAAACACTAAGCCAAGCAACTCCTCGTGACAAGAATATATCTTTATAATTTCATTTTGTCTTTGTAGTTCTGATTTTCTACACTGCATAATATTTCTTCTTTCAGCGGCATTTAGCAATTGACAAACGTAATACAAAACCTTAATATGGAACACAATTACTATTTTATTTAAAGCGACGTTTCGTTGAGGGTTCTCTCAACGTTTTCAAACTGTTTAGACTGCTGATATACTTCGATGAATTTATAAACAGAGAAATAGACAACGTCTAGACATGATTGAAAGAGTTGCGATTCCAGCAGAGTTTAGCTGATTTAACCTGTATGATGTAGTTCAATGGCTGAGAAATTACGTCAATTTTAAAGTTTTTTGATTTCAGGTGACGATCTGTCAAGGACTAACAGATCATGATCCAAACTTAAGACATGTAGAATGCTGTTGTTAGGATATCTCTAAACACACCAGAACCTACCTCTGCCAAGGTTTGCGCACATATGCCTTTAACCTGGAGTTAATTGTTTGTCTATGAGTAGTTGTATGATTTTCTGGTAGTTGCCATGGTAATGACATTGTATGTGATGTTTGTGTTGAGGTAGTTGATATGGAGATAGCATCTAGATCATCTATATGTAAATCCATGCATGACGTACTCTCAACCAGAGTAAAAGAATCATCATCAACCTGTCAAATAGAATTATTTTCCTCCATACAAGAGTAACACAGCTTTTTAAGGGAGATAAACTGACAAGGAAGATTAGATGGAGTTATTTAAAGATGCATTATGAAAGATTTAGATAAAGAGCTTTACGTCGGTGATAATACAAAATCAATATATTGAAAAGTTCATTCAAATTACATAATTCAGAGCGAAGTTATCACTGTTTGAAGTTTTGACAAGATGTGACATAGGTTGTTTATTATCATACTTGTTTTATTCTATACTTAACTTCGATTCACCATTTTAAAATTAAATCATTAAATAACGACTGTGTACTAATCTGTTCAAATCTCAGCCAGAGTTGATTATCGGCTTGTCATGTGAATAAATGTCTAAATAATACTGTAGTTTATATAACATTTGTAGCCAAAATAAAGACCTACAATTAAGCTCTTACACTGCATCTTTAATGGACAAGAATGTGATAATCTTTGACCAATATATTCATTTTAAATACACAGTTGTAATCTTCCAGTCTGGAGAATCTTACATTCTAATTCATGCCAAGATACAGACATGATATCTGCTGATTCCCGTTAATATTCTTGAGTTTTTAAAACTTTACTGCCACCTCTAATTTATTGTCTTTGACAGATGTGGGGCAATATGCACTCTACACAATATTTAAATAACCATAAAGTTTCTATCTCAATCTGCATACTTATATTGACATTATTACTGGGCTATAAAAATGAATATAGATATATGACCAATAAATAAAGCTGACAATAAATGCATATAGCCTTTGGTTTCCTTCAATAGATTGTTGATATCTACCTTATTACAAGCAAACTTTGAAACTTAAAAAAAATAAAAATAAAATGCACTTCATTGCATTTCCAACCCTTATTCATAATGGGAAATAATCTCTCATACTTTCTGTTTGCATGATGTCAGGGTAAAAATTGGATACATGTTGGCTTACAATGGAAAATACCAGAATTCATTGATAAATACCATTGCTTTTCATTGCAGGAATAAAACTATAATTTCAATAACACTGTTACAAGAGTTGAGATGCTATAAAGGATCTGATAGATTACCTTGTGTGTATTTTCAATAGTATCATCTGATATAAGAGAAGGACTTGTTTCTACAGTACCAGTTTTATCTGGTGACATACATGTTGATATATTAATATCATATAATGACTGTAACTGTTGTCTAACTGGTTGTAATCTCTCTCTTAATACAGGTGAACAATCTAAACAATCATCATCTTCAAATGTAGCTTTTAATGGGGTTCCTCGTATAGTACTCTGAAATATATCTTCATCTATACAAACACTCAAAGTAAGCCAGATTGGATATCAAAATAAGCACTCTAATTTTAGTTTAAATTTTTGGCCTGAACTGTTGACCACACAAATGTTTATATCTCAGCACTGTCATCACTCCATACAAATCAACAGATAAATTGTAATCAAATTGATTTTCTACAGAGCTAAACATTGAGTCAATATGACTGATCTGTGACACTTTATAAAAAAGATTCAAAGGAATCGGAGAGACTGTCTTTTTCAGAATCCTGGTTTATTCTTACAAAATTTGGTGGATTTTTAAATATTTACCTTAGGATCATCTTTCTTTTGTTGTCGTCTATGTCTACGTAATGATTTACCACGTAATGGTATTTTATTACTACTTGGCTTTCTTAATGTTTGTCTATCAGTACATAATTTTCTATAAATAAACAAATGTTATATCATGAAAATCATCAAAAGGAGACCGGTTTTAAAACAAAACCTTCAATACTATATAATAAATAAGCTTAAAGAGTCTGTTGTGATTTGAATATACCTTTCAGTTATTTTAGACTAACATGTATTCATTACAGACCTCTCTCGAAAAAAAAATGTGTTTAGATGAAGTGGAGTAAGAAGCCACTACAACGAAATGTTGATATGAGTTTGATAAGAATTATAAATAGTACTTGAATTACCTGATAGATTTTTCTAACATGTTTATCCAATCATTAGCATTAGATTGATCATCTGAATATAGTAATAAGATTTCTTCTTTACAGGATAACTAAAACAACAAAATCAACCGTTCAAGTCATTTTTTGATAACCACTCTCATGCTTAAAAGGAGCATCACCAAAGTTGGTAAATTTGAGATAATTCACTATTGACAGTCATGCAGTTCACAATCCCAGTAGTTAGTACAAACGCTATTTGATAATTGCATAAATATACAAGCTCGACAATTATTTATAACACAACCTGGGTAAATAGCCTACTAACATCCCAAACAATTTTCTACAATCTTGTTGCTGATGTCGATCATGATCACACAATTATTTTTATCTGTACACTATTATTGCACTTTCCAACAAGTTCATATGGAAATCATCACCTATAAGGTTTACTACAATATGTAGTAAAGTGGTTCATTCTGGCACGAAAAATGTCTCAATAGTCACACATGCAAGACCTGATAATTCTTGTAAGTTGGCCATGCCTTTTTTACAAGTGAATAAATATCATTTTATAAAGAAGACAAACAGACAAACGATGATTAGACATCATGGACTATTCTTATTAGTCACAAACATTTCATTTTTATGTTTAATTATGATTTTACCAACAGGATGATTTATCAAATAATACTGAAGGGGGTGTATATGTAATGGCACAACATTGCAATAACAAATTTATATTCCACGACCTAACGTATTGTTCTTCAAATAATTGTTTTTGATAGTACTGTGTTATTATCCTACACTAATGGATTGGGGTTTGGTAGAATGGGTTAATATCTATTAGTATTAGGGGGTCAAGGGAGATAACTGGAATATTAGGACAATGACCATCACATTTTCTGTGTAGATTATTTTTCAGCGAATTAAAAGATGCTTATTATATACTTCAAGTATTCTATTAATTTTCACAATATGAGGTAGTGGTAGGGGTGCATAACACATGTGTATAATAAATACTTACACTAAACATACCACCACTGTTAGACTTCTGTACACCAGGTACAAACATTTTATCAACTTTACAATGTTTTAATGGTAAAACACAACAACAGTTATAGGATTTTTTACCACTTTCTATCAACTTAGGTTTACCATAAAGTAATATATCAGAAAATAGAAAAAACATTCTTTCGTGGGACTTTCCTCCTTTTCTTGAAACCTACCAAAATAAATATCACAATTCATAATTATAAATATTAATTTTCAGAATTAATCTATGAAGTTCTAACATCACTGTTCGAATAAATTTCCTTCATAGCACACTGTATGACATATGTCTTCATCAGCCCATATCATAACATAAACGATTGGACTCCAAATAGAGTTTAACAGTGTGTCAAACCAGCGTTTCTTTCTAATCTTTTTTGAATTCCATTTGTCATGGTTTTCTTATGTCCAAAAACAATATGTACAAGGGTGGATTTTGATTTTCTAGGTGACTAGACTCCCAAGTCAGTTCTAATCTTCTTTGAATTCCAACTGTCAAGATTTTTAATATGTGTGGGGACAATCTAGTCAACAATTCAGTTCACATATAGCTATGCACACCACCAATTTGCTTATTACTTATAAATTTGAGTTGTCAAATCGTTTGTATTATACTTATTGAAACACTTCATGTTAACTAGAAATACATGTATAAGCATGAACAAAAAAGAACTTACTTTATTCAATACCCCTTCTTTGATAAACTGACGACCTGGTGACATTAATTTGGGAGCAGAACTATCAAAACTGTTCTGGATAGATAACATCTTTTGAAAGTTCTCATGCTGTCTGACATGTTCATTAATATGAGAGGCTATTTCACCCATTTGTTTTGCAGCTTCTGTAATTCAAAATCATTTCCTTTAAGAGTCTGGCTACTAAGTCTAGGCTGACTTTTTCTTATTGAATCTTTGGCACGTCAGCAGCTAGATCAGTTTATTAATCAGTTGCAGGTGTTAAGCCAGGTGTTAATACATGATCATAATAGTACCATATAAGAAAATGACTAAAAAGACCAAATTAAATATTCAACATTTAAATAGGTTATGTAGAACCTTCTGTCTGCTACATGTGTATGGATATTTATTAATTTGGTGTCATAGCTGACTTGTTCTTGAAGCAGTAACGTTCAAAATTTCTAGTTAACTTACCGGAAATTAAATTATAATCATAATTATCAGCTGGTGTACATTGTACCAATTCTTGTAATAACATTTTATATCTGAAATAACATCAGTTTGAAAATAGTATGAGATAGATCCAAGAACAGTTTTACTCTTATGAGAGATACAGCCTGATCTACAACTTAAATAGAAGTACAGAGGATATAGACTGGCCATACAGACATCCTAGTTCATAATCAAGCACTGCCCAGGGAAATGAATGGAACAGGACCGAAAATCTTATGCAATGTGGGGTTTGGGTGGAGAGCGGGGGGATTTTGTCAGGGCTGCCACATTTCCACCTATTCTTAATCACATTTCGATTTGCCTGGGATCTTTTTGTCCCCCCATAAACAACCAGAAAGACTTGCCTCATTATCCTTGTAGGTGCTATCCCAGACAAGCGGTTATCAGTCTTGTGCCCTGGAAAAATCCTTTCCTACATTGTACACTCTGTCATAGGATATAAAATATCTCATAAGTTCAATAGTATAAAATTTTTTATCCCAAAGTCATAAAATAATATAATATATATAGAGAAGGTTCTTACAGAACTATATAATAACTTACCTAGGTACTCTTTGTATTGGTGTTATCAATAAAGATGTTAGTTTTAAACCATGTAATTCTGGGCGCTGTTCTTGATTCTGAAGATAATCTGTAAACTTGGAACTTTTTTGCAGACACTCCTGAAAATAAGATCAAACCTTATTATCTTTTTGATCTACATATAATTGTATTTTGAGTGTAACCTACTTGTAATCAGTCATTATGCATGAAAAAGTTACTTCCCAACTTCTGCTCTGTTCAACTATACTGTACTACATTTTCCCCATAATTAGAAAACCTGACTCTTTATTTATCTTTAAAATAAAAATAAATACTAACACACAATCTTTGTATCTGTGGAAGTAAATTATTGAAAAAACCTTTACCATGTGTACAAGTATAACTCACCTGTAATGTTGACATAGCTTGTTCATGATTATTGGCATATGTAGAATAGAGTTTGAGATATGGTCCAAGTTGATGAAAGGCCTGTCCTATTGTTGACTGATTCATCTGTTCCAATAACTTCTGATTGACTTCAATAAGTTGTTCTAAATTACTGAATATTCTAGCATGGGCAGAGTCAGATATTATACAAGCATATTGAAGTGGAAAATAGAAATACTGAAACATTAAAATAAAACTAAACAATACTCTTTCATATTTTATACCGCTTAAAAACATTATAAAAAATGAGGGACATATTGGCAAAGTAGGTTTATACCTCATATTTCTGTATTCATTCAGCTCGGTCGGAGCAGAAAAGTAACATGTTAAACCCCATTTCATTTTCAGTCTATAGATAAAGCAATTGTCGACACAGAAAGCCCCAAATCTATTGAATATGTTAAACACAATTTCATTACATTTACAAGAGGGGCCAAAATTAAAAGTTTATATTACTAACCCTGTGTATTAAATCTAACTGATGAAGATAAGCTTTCTCAGTTTCAAATAATTCTTTAGTCACTTTTTTCCTTCGTCTTTCTCTTTTAGCATCTTCTAGAGCAGCTACATCCAATGGACTTGATGCAAACAGCACATCATCCATGTCATCTCTATCCCTTCCTTCTGTTAAAACTGCAAATTACATAACTTAAAGATGCAGTGTAGCAAAAGGTGTTATTTAGATTAAGAGTTGGATGATGTGGTATATTTTGGATATTGTGATATTTGAAAAATTATAACACAATATTCTATAAAAATATCTAACACAAATAAAGAAAATAAAATAAAAACAAGCCAACAGTGAGGCTGATGTCACCCGCCAAATCCCAAAAGAAACAGATGACACATATTAATAAAATATACTTTCCCAGAAAAGTATGGCAATTTTGGTATATATGGAATGGACAGTAGAAACATTCAATCTTACTAGAACAAGCCAACAGTGAGGCTGATGTCCCCCGCCGAAATCCCAAAATACATAGATTACACATATTAATTAATAGCACATTTGTTTTTTTTAAAAGTATGGAGTAATCAAACTATACATCACTCTCTATCAGATAGAATCAAGACTATCTTGTCCCAAAACATTGACCAATGAAATTAATTAGCTCTGCTTAGCTGAGCTTTGAACATCTATATCAAGTTTAAACATTCTATCTCAATTAAAAGCAGAGTTGTTATGTTCCAAGGTCTTGACCAATCAAATTGCTTATTGCTCCTTAGCCTAAGCAGAAAATTTGCACCATCAACTTAGTCAAGGTAATGATATAATGAATCTATCGCCGGAGTTTCATCACTCTCACTTCATTATAACCAAAGTTATCGTGCCCCAAATTGCTTATCTCTGCTTACCCTAAGCAGACAATGTTCATCATCGAACTCCATCACGGCATTCACCTAATGAACACCTACACCAAGTTTGAACATTCTACCTCAATTAGGAGGAGAGTTATTGTGTTCCAAAGTCTCAACAAAGCAAATTGCTTATCGCTCTGCTTACCCTCAGCACAAAATATTCATTATCGAACTTAGTCAAGGTATTGATGTAATAAAGCTATATATCAAGTGTACTCACTCTCACTTAATTAGAACTAAAGTTATCGTGTCCCAAAACATCAACCAATCAAATTGCTAATCTCTGCTTACCCCAAGCAGAAAATTCTCATCTTCTAACTCAAACAAGGCATTGACCTAATTAACACTTACACCAAGTTTGAACATTCTAGCTCAATTAGAAGGAGAGTTATTGTGTTCCAAAGTCTTGACCAATCAAATTGCTTATCGCTCTGCTTACCCTGAGCAGAACATCCTCATTATCGAACATAGTCAAGGTTTTGATGTAATGAAACTGTACACCAAGTTTCATCACTCTCACTTAATTAAAGTTATCATGTCCCAAAGCATCAACCAATCAAATTGCTTATCTCTGCTTACCCTAAGCAGAAAATGCTCATCTTTGAACTCCATCAAGGTATTGACCTAATAAACACCTACACCAAGTTTAAACATTCTAGCTCAATTAGAAGGAGTGTTATTGTGTCCCAAAAAGTGTGACGGACGGACGGACAAACAGACAGATGGATGAACCCATTTTAATAGTCCCCTTGTTTTTTTTCGAAAGACAAGGAAAAACACCCATGGAGCGCTAACACGTCAAAAATGTAAGGGTTTCCCTAATTGGCAGCCCTGATGATAAGGAATGTCTGGTCATGTGATGTCAAAGGTAGCATGCAAGGATTGTCGGACCTCCCAGTGTTAGTGAGCGCATGATGTATATGGTGATAAACTTGATGAAGAGCTTAAATGAACAATAGTTTCTGAGATAAAAACCACGGAAAAAGATGTGGGAAGGGAATTTAATTAGGCTTCGGTATGTATCATAAATGGACAGCGATTAAAGACAACATCGTCTTGTATATGCAATGAATTCTCCTTCAGTTTCGCACCTGTTGCTAGGTAGCGAGTCAGCCAAGTCATGTAACACAAACATGACTTCTTTTAAAAAAACTTTTTATAGCAGGGGGTATTCCCTCGCAAAAACAATGTTTTGAGAAGGATTTGAAGCAAAAATTTGATAGATTAAGTACCGGTAGGTTGAATATGTTTTTAGTCCAAATATATCATCAAATCACCCAGTCTGTACGTGGGAAGGTCTTCAATTGCACATTTATCTTTTTCAAAAGTATCGAGCAATCAGACTGATTATCTATACTTAAGTCTTAGCATAAAATGTGCACAATCAAACTCAGTCAAGGTTTTGAAGTACCTGGTAGTGAAACTACACACTAAGTTTCATCACTCTCTATCAGTTAGAATCAAAGTTATCTTGTCCCAAAGCATTGAGTTGACCAATCAAATTGCTTATATAAATTTCGAAATGATCAGATAATAAATGTAGTCTGTAGAATGTTCGCAAGAAATTGTGGATGATGGATGGAGGCGATGGCAATATATGACAATATTTCCATGTGGGCATATAGAAAGGTTCAATCGAGATCAATTCATTGTAAATGAGTATATAAGTCTGAAATTGGATAGGGTTCTTCTTCACCACCAAATCAACAAACCCTTTAAATCTGAAGACAAACAGGCAAGAATTGTAGTGTGTAAAAAAACATTTGATGGTGACAATATACTTTACATGTAGGCGTATAAAAACATACAGATAGATACCTTTTAAACGACTTCGACCAGACAACATATTCTTCAAATACTCTTTGTGAAATCCTACACACCTACAAATAAACACAAATATACATGTACATAGCCATGCAGTTAGTATACCTTCAGCAGCAGCATATTGAACGAATTGATATGCAAGTCTGAATTTTGATAAAGATTCCTGCTTAAGACTAACCGAACAATCCAAGCAATCTGAAAAATAATCTCAAAATCTCTGATTAGTAGAGCATTTACAAGATTTCAGTGACAGGGACAGACAGCAACTCAGAAACAAATAACTGTTCACCCGGCAGTCCACTATGGGAACGTACATGTAGCAAAAAACAGGGGCGATGACCATATACAACCAAATTCGAATGTGGGCGTATAAAAATGATAAAATAATAATAAAAAAACTGTTTAGAAGGGATGAAGCAGGCGTAAACGACTCATTCAGTTTGGACTGTTCCCATATTTCACCGAACATAATTGATTAGAAATTACAATTTTTAAAAAAAAATTGAACATAAATCACTTTATATACACTCATATTACATTAATATGTGCTTTTAAACCCATTTATGCTTCCAAAAAATAGAGCCATAGGCCCTTTAACAACAGAAAGAGAGCCTAGCATATATATGAATGATTACTATTAATAGTAAGTCATATAATTAATACATGTATTTCATTCACTCAAAAAACAAACAAACCTGGGGCTGTTGGTTGATCTGACTACTTTTTTCATTTGGTTGATCTGACTACTTTTTTCATTCATCTTTTCATTTGTTTTTCTTCTCTTCCTTTTAGTCTTAGGTTTGTATGTGGATTATGGGTTAAGTTAGTGCCCATTAACTTGGCATTTCTGATATTATCTTTGTGAAAAGAGAGCCGCCTAAAAAAGTAGTCAGATCAGCCAACAATGCCATAATCCCACTATGAAAATGTTTGATATCAAGAATAGTTTGGGAAAATGTAATATAGAACTATGTGGGATAGGGATGTTTTAATACAGAGAGTGAGGACAATCTAGAAATGGTTCCACTATATAAGTATTACCACGGCTACAAATTGAAGCTAAGGACAATCTATTCTATATCATAACGAAGACATAATCCTTATAAGACATACTCACATATAGGATTAGGATAGAAAAGAAGTAGATTTCACAAATTAAAAACACTAGTTATTATGGATATATTAATTATATATATATATAATAAAAAAACAACAACATAATTCCAATAGAAAAGGGTGGCGTCCGCCCCCTCCCCCCCCCACACATACACCTGTATGGGCGCCTGCTGTCATCAGTTCTTCAGTTCTTGTGAAAGACGGATTAGGCCAGAGAGTAAGTTAGTGTGTGATGTCACGAAAGTTGAAATGAAGTACTACTGTCTGAGTCTTGGTAAATTTTAAACGGATTTCTTCGATTATGAACAAACTACTTAACTTTGGTTATTATAAACTTACCTGTGTGTTTGTAATGAACTCCCGTTCGATAAAATCCATTGCACAACTAATTATCACAACGATGAAAACAAGTTCTCTCTTGAAAAATTGAAATATCACAAACTTTTCCCAGAGAAAAATACCAATATGGAAGATGGTTACGTCACTCTGCGGAAGATATCATCTGTATTAGGGGTGACAGCATGATAGGAAATTCAAGTACAATTACGACAAGAATCCATGACCACTCGGACCAAAGACCACTCGGTTCAAGACCAGTCGGACCAACTGATAGACCACTCAGCCCAAACAAATAGACTACTCGGACCATACAAAAAGACTATTCGGCCCAACAGAAAGACGACTCGGACCAATAATAAAGTGTTGTTTTAATAAATTGATAATTGCGTTTGTTTTAATATGATTACTCGAACCAATAATAAAGTGTTATTTTAATAAATTGATAATTGTGTTTATTTTAATATGACTACTCGAACCAATAATAAAGTGTTATTTAAATAAATTGCTAATTGTGTGTGTTTTAATATGACTACTCGAACTAATAATAACGTGTTGTTTGAATAAATTGATAATTGTATTCCAAATCGCAAAATATCGAGAACCACACTTGTAGTCACGTTTAAAAAGGGGCATATAAACGTCCGGTCTTCGTATTATTATGTGCTGTTTATATTAACGCATCAAGGGCGGATAACTTGAAAACGTGTCTCCCCCCCCCCCCATATATAGTAACCCAGGGGTTAGTGGGGTAGAACGGAATGAAACCACTGGGGATACCGCGAATGTGGAAAAAGTAAAATTAGGCTATCAGACAAGAACAGTATACCCGTATATGTAGAAACTGTCAAAAGTCTGGACATACCGAGTCTCATTGCAAGAGTAAAGAAAAATTAGATTGATATTTTTTTTGGGCACCATTATTAATTAATTTTAAAACTAATCGTTGATTTATTTTCCGTACACAAAATTGAACCAAACAACTCTAAATATAAGAATTCCGTATAAGAATTATTTGCTTTTTTGTATTGTGATTTAATAATAAATAAATAGCATATTGTCTAGCCTTATAATATAATTTAATTGGTCCGACTGGTCTTGTTTTGGTCCGACTGGTCTTAGTCCGAGTAGTCTTTGGTCCGAGTGGTCTGGATACCTACGACAATTGGCATTGAGTTTGAGCGTTCGCACACATAACTACCCGCATTCCTGTATTTAGTTACCGTCTTTTACATTCTAGTAAAATCTCTGCAAATTTTATAGCTTTACTTTTTGAAATATTTTGTTCTAATTATTTGATTAGCGACTCGGATGGGATTATTTACTTTTGAACACGCATGCCGCACAAACACAACTATACATTCGTTTTACGGGCTTTATCACACTTCGGTCAAAACTGTCGAATCGAGAATTAATGTTCCGCTTCTTACGGGGGTCATACGGGCTTAGTAGCATTATATACCCACCCAATAGACACGCTGAGGGCTGCCGCAACACGCTTAAAGATGTTACTGAAGCGGTTATTATTCGATCGAAAGAATGCGTATAAAATTAAAAATACACTCAGAGAATTCGGAGGTAAGCTTCATGATCCTTGTTAAATTATTTATAACATAAAGAAGATAGGATATTTATAGTTTATACATGACTTTATTTTTACGAGTATCCGTGCAATCAGTGATATTTTAATTGTGAAGAAAATTTGATAGACTGGCGATCAATGGTTTCCATATAAATCTCCTATGTAATTGCCTTCAATTGATATTTTTCGTCGCCCAAACCCATATACGATCAAAATGATCGCGCTGTCAAACTATCTTTCAATGTTAACCAACCCCCGCAACAGGTATATTGGATTCGACCAATACGTCACGAAGACATTGTTGACATCGACTCTGTCGAAATTACAAGTAAATTTTCAAATTTTTCAAGAGAGAACTTGTTCTCATCGTTGTGATAATTAGTTGTGCAATGGATTTTATCGAACGGGAGTTCATTACAAACACACAAGTAAGTTTAAAATAACCAAAGTTAAGTAGTTTGTTCATTATCGAAGAAATCCGTTTAAAATTTACGATGGTTCACACAGTAGTAGGACGGAGGTCATGACCAGGAAATTCGTAGCTCTCAGTCTCAATCAGTAAATCGTCAATAGGTCTAGAAACATACATGTGCCAATAACAATAATACATAGTGTGCCTATTTTGACATATTACCTTATTATTTAAAAAAATTATGCAAGGCCTGTATATTTCTCTATTTTCATTTTCGAGCACCTGTTTTGAATTATATTTACTTCAAATGTGGCGCCCTCTGTAAATATGACTTACTCTCGAAGCCAAAAACCTTATCGATGAACATTGCTACCAGCGCGTGTAACGAAGTTAATTTTATACAGATAGATCTATCAACCGAATCAGAGTATGAAATAATTAACTAAATTTGGATCAATTTACAAAAGGCATGTAAATACAATGCGTACTTAAAATCATTTGGATTTGAGTCTTTGTCACAAAGCCGTCTTGATGGCTAAATCTATTTCTCAAGGCCAACTTAAAGGGACAATAACACTCGATGTGTTAGTGTCCTACCTGTTGTGTAAATTATCCATTAAATTCTATTTTACTCGTCCAGAGTAAATCCAAGTAACATTTGAAAAGCTTTACGTCAGGCTTTTTAAATCATTTAGTTGAATTTTTCCAATTTTTTAAATTAGGTGTGTTAAGTCTAAGATGAAATTTATATCATCAATTAATTGGAATATTGTAAAATACACAGTACACTTTGTTGACCAGAATACAGATTGGGATATATTATTCAGTTACAACAAGAGTGGTATTGAGCCTTTAAGATGTAAATTAGGGCACGTGATTGTTGGCGAGATTGTAGGTTAATGTTAGGGTAAGCGTTAGGGCTAGGGTAAGGGTTGGGATCAGCGCTAGCCCTGTTTCTATCTCGTGACCTTTGATCAAACTTGAAGTTGGCCTTATAGATCTATTATTAACCTAATCAATTTTGGGAGACTGAAACCGTGTTTGAACCAGGCCATTTTTTAATCTTCAAAGTGAGGGGGCATGATATTGTTCATTTAGAGGGTTAAAATTTCAAAATATTCGCGGGGGAGGGCCCCTGGATCTCTCGCAAGCCCGGGGAGAGAGCCCCCCCCCCCTCCCATCTTGCAAAAACTCCGGATTCGAACGAGACGAGATTCACGGGACACTAAGTCTTAAAGTCTGTCATGTACATAATTGTAATGTCCCAGAACCTCCACATTTTGGGTTTAGTACTTTAGTGACAGATCAAAAGTTCTGTTAGATTTCCGAGAGATTTTTATTTAGATTTAAAAATGTGAAGGCCCTCACATTTTGAGTTGAGTACAAGATCAAAAGTTCCGTTGATTTCTGAGAGATAATTTGTATTCGATATGGCCCATTTTACACCAAAAATAATCTGTAGGCCTACTTTATGTAATGACTAGCAGGATTCCCGGCTTCGCTCGGGGGTCATAACTCCGAAACCGGAAGTGGTAGACTAACGCCACCTGGCCTATGTTACTCCCCGGTCCGAGCTATTCCTATACCCCAAATTTCAGAGTCGGGGCAGACCTTGTGTAGCGGCCAACCCCGAACAGACCGGCTTCGCTCGGGGGTCATAACTCCGAAACCGGAAGTGGTAGACTAACGCCACATGGCCTATGTTACTCCCCGGTCCGAGCTACCCCTATACCCCAAATTTCAGACTCGGGGCAGATGTAGCCGCCAACCCCGAACAGACAGACTTCGCTCGGGGGTCATAACTCCGAAACCGGAAGTGGTAGACTAACGCAACCTGGTCTATGTTACTCCCCGGTGGAGGCTACCCCTATACCCCAAATTTCAGACTCGGGGCAGACCTAGTGTAGCCGCCAACCCCGAACAGACCGGCTTCGCTCGGGGGTCATAACTCCGAAACCGGAAGTGGTAGACTAACGCCACCTGGCCTATGTTACTCCCCGGTCCGAGCTACCCCTATACCCCAAATTTCAGACTCGGGGCAGACCTAGTGTAGCCGCCAACCCTGAACAGACCGGCTTCGCTCGGGGGTCATAACTCCGAAACCGGAAGTGGTAGACTAACGCCACCTGGCCTATGTTACTCCCCGGTCCGAGCTACCCCTATACCCCAAATTTCAGACTCGGGGCAGACCTAGTGTAGCCGCCAACCCCGAACAGACAGACAGACAGACAGACAGACGACAGTCATAAATATATTTATAGATAATATATATTGACCGAGAAAGTTCATAGGGATTTCTTAGCGACGTTAGTCCCGAAATGACCTAGTTTGTATCGAGTGGACATGACCTAGTTTGTATCGAGTGGAATCTCTCTCTCGCTCTCTCTCTCTCTCTCTCTCTCTCTCTGCAACACATTTCACTGGCAAGGATTTTTTACGGGTAGGCCTACTATTTTCAGTGTAAAAAAACCTTCATGGAGAAGCGATAGGCTGGTACAAAAAACATAGCTGAACCATGTTTACTTTACTTATCTAAGACACACAACTTAAATGCAAATACCTATGCTGGTTGGTATATGATAAATAGCCATGGACACTTGACATGCTTTGAGAATGGTCACAGATGAAGAACTTATCGCCCAACAGAACCACTCAGCTGCACATGCGACATGCAATAGCGCCATACACGTGGGACGGGTTCATTGTCACTGCCGCTTGCTGGTTTATCCTATCCATGTTTGGTTTCCTATCGGTTCTTGCATAAGATTTACTGTTTAGCGTATCTTTGCTTTAGTGTGTTACGTTTAATTTGATCGGGAGACGTGTTCGTCGACGTCAACGTCAACCGACAAGACTGCAAGAATTCGCCGTGGCACTGCAAGAGGGGTGGGACAGATTGCCCCAAATCGTGATTGGACGGTTAATTAGGAGCATGCCACGAGGAGTTGCTGAATTTCTGAGGATTGGTGGAGCAATTACTCATTATTAAGACAAAGAAACAAAAACGTCAATTTTCACTTTTGACAGCGAATTTTCACTTTGCGAGTGAAATGGGGCCGTCAGATAAGTCGCCCATATGAACTGTTTATGTTCATGTGTAGGCTGGTTACCTCTAATAAAAACAGCAGTGCATTTCCGCAGGTTGTATTGTTTCTGAATATCTGAATGTCCAAACCGAGCTGGAGCCGGTTTTTTTTAAGCCAACCCGTTCAGACGACCAAGATGAACCAGTTTAAAATAAAAAGCCTTCTTAACTGGTTTATGTGCCACACATTTGCGTTCAGACGACAAAGTTAAACTGGCCTAACGATCCCCGTTTTTTTTTAACCAGTTCAACTTAAGCGTCTGAAGGGCTATAATGGTATTTTATATCTGTCTACTGCAGGTCTTTTTTTCCTGGCTTCAAATGTAGGCCTATAAATTATTATTTAAACATTTATTAACATGACAAGCCCATAATCAACTCGCTGGGTCTCCATTTAGTCAAAACTTTCAACACTCATAACCTCGCACAGAATAAAGTAATTTGACTGAAATTTTCAAATTCATTTTTCATTTTCTATTTTTGAAAAATTGTAGAAAGAATGATCAGCTTTTTGTCGAATTCTTTCATAATGCATCGTTAAGTGAGAGTTGATAGCTTTGGGTAGGCCTAATTTTCGGACTGAAAAGTTTTTAAAAAAAGTACACACAGTAGGTATATTAAGCCTGAACTATTCCGATAGGTCTGATGTAAATATAAAACGAACATATCCCACATGATAGGAATGAAATTGACGGTATGGATAAACAAAGAAACTGAAGACGACAGAATTTTGTTGTTATTGTCAGTGAAATGTGAGTTTGGCTGTTATAGAATTCGTTTCTCTCTTGGAAATAAAATGAAATGAGGTTTAACGTCCTACTGTTTTGCTCCTACTGGGCTAATGAAGACGGGCGTTTCTCTTTTGGTCCAACTAGGTAACATTTTGGGAACGGTCATGCAAATCTTCCGTTAATTATGGGAAGGGAATTCGTTTCTTTTTGGTCCACCAGGATAAAAATATGTCCGGCAGCTCTGCAAATTTCTAACACAAAATTATACTGCCCCTTCTACACCTCCCCATTTCATGCACGAAAGTAGAAATGGTTCCATTTGCACTACAATACTGCAGCTAGCGCGAGAGTATCTTATGAATGCATTGACTTTGGATCTGAATATTTCTTGAACGCATCAACGAACACGCGAGGAAGCAAATCTGTGCATTTTCGACATTTATTTCAACATTCTCATCACATCAGGCTTTTTAACTTGTTGGCTAAATTATTTATTTGACCTATTATCGCCTCTGCAAAGCACAGAATTTAGTAGGAGCCTATATCCTTTTCCTAAAAAAAATCTTTTACCTGGAAATAGATAAACCCAGATAATTTCATGTAGCTTGTATCGTTTTGAAAGTTATTAAAGAAAGTCAAACACTCTCGTATTGATAAGTAGACAATAAATACATTCATTTGATATCTAGGAGCAATATCCGGCTGCGCTGGTAACAGTAACTCATTAAAAATCCAATAGACAGACTGTAAAATGTAACGCGATCTTTATCCTTAATCTTACCGCACACAAGACCTGTGGGCTGAGGTTTTCCGGCTTACTGTTTTCCATACGGTTAATGTTTATGTTTGGCAATAACAAGGTCAGAAACTAACAAGGTATCGTAAATTTTATTATTTTTATTGACAAAAATATCTTCTGACCGTTTCGAAGTTGTTTATTTAATAATAATCATTTTGTAGAGAGCTGAACATTCAATCAGTTTGTAGCGCTTTACAAAGAAATAAAACATATAGACAACAAGCACTCTATCATTTAGCCTCGATCTAACTGACGTATTTTCATCAGGTTACCCCTTATTTGATTTAATCAATTAGTGAAATCCTATTTAAATCCGAGCTGTAGCCGAGCCATCCGTGGGTCTACAGAGTTGATTTTGGTCTTGTTGTTTAAATAAAGATCTAATTTATAATTTCTATAACATCTGAACTTGCAATAATCAGATTTAGCTCTTGCATCCTACACAGTACTATGCCCTACACTTGAGTCTTGAAGGCATAAAATCAAGGCGTTGGCCCCTGACATTAACAAACATCTAACCCTGCACGCCACTGGTTAGACTATAACGGGTGTCCCAGAAAAAAAAAACGAGTAAACTATTTAAATTGGTATAAATTTTATACGTATTGTACCTATATCATTAACATTTCACGTGTGGTACAATATGGATATTTGGGGGGGTGGGGGGCATATTGACCATTTGTTTATGTAAACTGGTGT